TATATTTTTACACCGAAATGAGACTATTTTTCAGAATAACCTACAGTTGACAAAGTTGTAGAGATGGGTCCGCGTAAATGCTTTGTGGAGATGTGTGCGACGAAAAGAAAAATCTACCGAAAGATAAAATTAATATTCAACTGTTAAGAGTTGTTTGTAGTTAAAGATGGAATAAACTACTCCGAAAATATCCAACCCAATACCTGTTTTATTTTCCCTCCAAAAAATTACTCAAAATTACTCAACGACGTTAAAATCCCCCATATTTGAAAGAAAATCTCCCATTATGGCAACTCTGGTGCGAAGTTCCTCAATCTACAACAGTGCTTTCAATTAGGCTCTAAATAAAAAAGGAAAATTGGAGGTATACGAGAGACAGCCACAAGATGAGTTTTAAAAGTTGAATCATTTTAGGTCTGAAAATTTCATGCTGCAACTTATTTCTCGTTAAATAACGCCTGTCCATGCTCTGCGAGAGTTTAAACAATCTTATTACCGTCTTGCTTGATTCTTGAAATACATCGAACAAAGAAAAGTAGGTTAGCGGAAACTTCTACGAGAACATTAACTAGAACAGCGTACTAGTAGCGAAAAACGTATTAAAGTTTTAGTTTAATACATCTCCACCGTTATCCGCTAATAGGAGTGGGATTATTAACAGGCAAGGCTTTGAGCCTTATATTTACATTAACGTGGAAGCGCCGCACTTTGGACAAGGGCTGATCACAAATGAAGAAACCGAGGGTAGTTTTTTAATAAACTTTCTTTAGGAAAGTGAATTGTATCACACACTAAAATAAGAACACTTCATCATTTTTCAACATAGTCTCCATGGAGATTCAAACACTTGTAGCACCAGCTTCTGGATCGCTTCGGCAGAATTTTCTAGATCAAGAGATTGAAATAGTCAATAGTATATACCTAGTATAATAATTAAAAAAATCAGAGCTGTATTGTGGATGATCCAGTTGTCTCTGCGTTCTCGTCGCAACGTGAGCGTTGTCGTGAAGCAGAACGACGCTTCTGAAGAGCAGGCCTGGCCGGCGATTTTTAAGATATACTGATTGACGTACGGGGTTTGTCCGGAAAGTAATAGGACTGAGTCGATTTAAAAAAAATTATTAAGCCAATCGTTACAATTCTTTAAAAACTTTCAAAATAGGCCCATTCTGCGTCGATGCAGCGCTGCCAGCGCGATTTCCAAGCATTGAAGGCGTCACGGAAGTCATTCTCCGGAATAGCCTTGAGAGCCGCGGTGCATGATACTTGGATCCCCTCTGTCGTCTCAAAATGCTTGCTTTTCATCGGCCTTTTCAGGCGAGGAAACAAAAAAAGCCCGGGGGGGCACATCTGGGCTGTAGGGCGGCTGCGGAAGCGTTGGGATGCCGGCCTTGGTCAGGTACCTGTTCACAAGAAAGGCGGTGTGAGCCCGGGCGTTGTTGTGGTGCAACTTCCAGTCGGCTGCGATGTGTTATCGGACCCGACTGACCCTTCGTTTGAGTTTCCTGAGCACATCCACGTAAAACTTGGCGTTAACGGTTTGTCCAGGAGGAACAAATTCATGGTGGCCGATGCCTTTGATGTCAAAAAAGACAATGAGCATCGTTTTCACTTTGGATTTGCTCATTTTTCCCTTTTTTGGTCGAGGAGACGCCGTCGTGTGCCACTCGGAAGATTGCCGCTTTGTCTCGGGATCATAAAGATCCACGACTCGTTACCTGTGATTACGTTATTCAAAAATTGGAGGTCACTTTCACACATGTTCACATTTTCTTGGCACACTTCCACTCGCCGCAATTTCTGGTCGTCAGTGAGCACTTTTGGGACCATCTTCGCGCACACCTTGCGCATGTTCAAATGCTGTGTCACAATGTCATGAACCGAAGTACAGTCATGCCGGAAGAAAATGAGTCCTATTACTTTCCGGACAAACCCTGTATTATTACGAGATTGACTATCTTTTTCCCATAATCGTAGAACAACCGTCATGAAAGTTTTTGGAAGGTGTTTGTTATTGTTGGTTGTCCATAACATCACTTCTGATGATGTCCGATATGGATATTTGGCGGTGAACTTGACCTCGATGACCTTGGTCGGTTTTTCACAGCCGTACTGGGGAGAGGAACGTAATTATTCCCTTTCACTGTTCGGCAGAAATCCCGAAAAGATACGTTATCACAAAAGACTATTCGGATACTCAAAACTAAAACCGAGGGAGTTTAGAGCAGTTCCGGCAGGCAGGCAGACATTAAGGTATTTGGGTTACAGCACCTAAAGCATAGTCGTTCGTTCAGGCGCCCTTGTGGTATTTCCCTATTTGCTTTGTAGCCGGAAAAGCTTACACAAATTACGAAACAAAACTTTTTTGCTGCGGACAAGTTTTCTTCAGGTTTCTTTATTGTTTGGGATCAGCATGATACTTAGATAATCACTTTCACGAAAATTAACCCGTCTCAAAACGCAACATGTTGGAGTGTTGAAATATCCATACGACACTCATCGCGCACAGTTACGAATGGAGACGGAACAACAGCATCAACAAAACTAATTCAAACTTATTTAATTTTCTCACGTAAAACAGGTCGTTAATTTCTTCTTCACTGCCATAGTGGCAAACGTGGCAAGTAGAAAAGTTCTCTAACTGGTCGAGATATGCTCTGACAGAGCCTCGCTCTGGTGTTTGGCGTTTGCTGCACCAGCGTACATAGACTACAAATAGTAGGGTCTAAAACGCAATGTTTCGATTTATTTATATATGACGTTGAAAAATATGATAAAATTTCTAACAAATTTTCTGAAACCGAATAGCGGATATGCAAAAAGGAAGGTTGTTCGACCGATCGATGACTTTTCTTTAACGGGCAGTATTGGGACCCTTTCGTACGGACGGATCGTCAGCGATCTAGCTCTCTTCTACCGCTATGTCAACGGGCTTTGCTCCTCATAGCTGTTTTCCATGACGCCCAACAAATTTGATTAGAATAGAAAGAGTTAGGGATGCATTGCTTCAAGCGCTCACCACATTAAAGCTGTGAAATATTTTATAGTAAGCTGCCACAGTATTTTAGCTACAATAATAACATACAAAAATTTCAAGTATGATGTGAAATCGTTTTTATCAGATGGACTGTTTCATATAATACAAATGATGAATTGTCCGAACACAAATATGATTAAATACAGGGTGGCGCATCGAAAACGAAACAGAAGCATTTGCTGGCAGCTCAGCTTTTTTTGGAAAAACGCTCAGACGCGTCGACACCACCCCCAAAATCTTAAATGGAAAGGGGGTCGAGTGATACCTTATTTTAAAGGTCTTTCAATTCCCTTTATAATGATATGAAATTAATGTACTTTAGTTCAGTAGTTTTGAAGATTTATTGATTTAAAGCTTAAATAAAACTAATACATCATCATTAGTGGAGATAAATACATTTGGCAGCAAAGTAACTTAAAAATGGACACCATCCTGTTGGAACATCAACCTATTCGCAATGTACCGCCGATCATTCTGATTTTCAATTATGGCTGTTAATGCAGGATCTATGGCGTCTTTCGGTAATTCCAAATACATTTCACCGGTCAAATGTCCAGGTAAGAAAAGAGGACCAACTAAATGATCGCCAAAAATACCACACAAACATTTAATTTTTGTGGCTGCTGTGTATGAACCCCATGATAAATTCTGGGATTAGAATCGGACCAATATCGGCAGTTATGACGATTTACTACGCCATTTAAGAAAAAGGAACACTCGTCGGAAACGCAAGTGTTGAATAGAAAATGTTCATCGTTTATAATCCGTCCAGTCATATCTTCACAAAATTGTAATCGCCGATCAAAATCGTCTTCATTAAGTTCTTGTACCAGGTGAATTTTATACGGAACTATGGGCCTTTAGAATCCGTTGGACAGTACGTCGACTAACACCACACACAGTCGCCAATTTGCGGGTACTTAACGTAGGATCTACATTAACTTGCCCTAAAACCCCCACTTCTCTTGCTTCGATCCTTATGGGATTTTCAATGTTGCGTTTTTTATTGGCGGCTGACCCAGTTTTCCGAAATTTAGCTACAAGTTCTCGAACACATATTCGATGCATGTCGCTCATTAAATATTTCAGCGCACTGATTATTTCGATAATTTCAACTCTTTCTGCTGTGGAATATAAAATATTATGGTTAATTTATGTAATAACGCGTTACAAGTTATTTTAGCAACAAAATTTGGTCAAATCAATCGCAAACTATGTACTAAATTCCTATTTAAAATAAGTACGAGTTATTCCCTTATCTTTCTTCAAGGAATAACTTTTTTGCCACAAAAAAAACGCTCCAATAGCTATTTTCAACAACAAAATGTTAAACAAACCATGGGCGCAGTGAAGAAAAGCATTCACTTATTAAGTAAATTCTTTTAGTCAAATTTCTTCTGAATTAGTACAAACTAATCTGATGTACCTATTAAAGTCCACTTTAAGCTTTAAATAAATCTTCAAAACTACTGAACTGAAGCTCATGTATTTTACATCATTATAACGGGAATTGAAAGACCTTTAAAATAAGGTATTACTCGACCCCCCTCTCCATTTAAGATTTTAGGGTTGGTGTCACCCCCGCCCAGGGGGCTGCACGTGTTAACGTGTTTTTTGCCAAACTTGTGTCCTCATCGAAAACAAAATCGACGGGTCTGAGTGTTTTTCCAAAAAAACAACTGAGCTGCCAGTAAATGCGTCTGTTTCGTTTCCGATGCGCCACCCTGTATAATGCACCCAATATGCATATTTTAGCATTTTATGTTAGTTACTCTGTATCGACAAGGTTTTTGACTGTGATATTTTATTTACTTGTTTATTTGTTGTTCTCTTTTTATTGATGTGCTATATATGTATACTTCTGTATTAACATGACCAATAAATACTACTACTACTACTTCTACTACTATGTAAGGCTGAAACGTTTCCCAGCGTTTCGAAGCGTTGCCTCGAGTGAATTTACTTCCGCAGTCTGTAGTCTGTACACCTTGGAGCTTTGCTGTTCTGCCGCTTGACGTTTGCAGCATTTCCAGTCTGCTCCGCACTGCTTTGCTGTTTTCCAGGGCATGACTACAAAGGGTGCAATGCTCGCTATTAATGAATGGTCTTTGGTATGAGAGTTTAATTAGTGGTCGGTCGTGTTTTGGAGGAAAGAAAACTGTTGTTGCTCTATACAGGTTTAATTATTTAACTTCTCGGAGCTCATGAATCTGCAACGGAATCCCGGGGCCTGGTTGGGTGACCTTAAAATAACTCATATAGGCACCGGAGCGTCGTCCCCAAACAGAGGAGTTATTAGAATCTCTATTCGCTCTACAAAACGGGGTCATGCATTCTCGCTAGATTGACACGGGCCTGCCTGAACGGTCTGTATACATCAGTTGCAGTCAAGCAATTAAAAAGCCCTAGCTCGGCCCTGCACCTTGTTCAAATTCAAATTCAAATTCAAAAACGCAAGGACCTCATCTATGCTGTAGAAGGTGTTAGATAAGAGAATCCTCTGAAGGTGCTTTTTGAAGAGCATAACATCATCTATTTGTTTAAGAGATTCTGGTAAATTATTGTATATTCGTGTACCAGCATATCTAGGCGACTTTTCGTGAGTCGTTAAGCTATGCTTACCTAAGCATGATGGCTCTTATTCCTGGTGTTATAATCATGAAAATTTGAGTTTTTCCTTGAAGGTACCTTTGTTTTCATAAGTATAGGATAGCAGTTTTAGCAAATAAATTGAGGAGGCGGTCAAAAGATATTTCTTAAAATAGTCCCTACAGGGCGCCCTGAACGATAAAGTCAACATGTTTCTAATGACTATTTTTTATGTGATGAAGACTCTGTCGACAGTTGAGGCCTGTCCCCAGACAACAATATTATATGACAGGACCGAGTACATAAACTCATAGTAGGCACTAATTAAGGTTCCACGACTTACACAATTTTGTAGACTATTTATGACGAAAGCACCTGTATTTAACTTTTTGCAAACCCACGACTTACACAATTTTGTAGACTATTTATGACGAAAGCACCTGTATTTAACTTTTTGCAAACCCTGTGGATATGAGTTTGCCAGTTTATGTGGCAATCCACCACTGAGTCCAGAAAATTTGTAGACAGAGAGAGCTCGACGTTGTGGCCATTAAGGGAAAAGTTAACATTACAGGATTGCTTCTTCACATATCTTATATTCATAGTAACAGTTTTATCATGATTAATCATTAGATTGTTTGGATTACATCAGTTAGCAAACTCTTGGAGCACTGTCTTCACCTTCAGTTGCAATTCTGTTTCAGATACAGCAGAAACTTCTGCAGTAGTATCATCCGCATATAAAAATACTTCGGCTTCAGTGAAGTGGTCTGGTAGGTAAATCGTTTATGAAAATCAGAAAGAGCAGTGGTCCAAGATCACTACCCTGTGGGATACCGATATCTTGATTGTGATAATCGGACACTGATTCACCAATTTTAACAGCAAACCTACGATCTGATAAGTAAGAAAAAATAATATGTTCCATTTTAATCTTAACAAAGATTTTGTCAACTGTATCAAACGCACGTGTCAAGTCAAGTGATATAGTAAGCACAAGTTTCCCTCTTTCCAGCTTATCTCTCTGTAGACATACATTTGCAAAATGCATGCTGTCTGTTTCTTAGAATGTTATAATTGATGATAAATTTATATATTCGGTCATACACGATTTTTTCAATAATTTTAGAGAAGATACTCAGTAGTGACACTGGTCTATAATTATCAGTGTCTTCTTTTTTAAAAATCGGCACTATTATGGCTTTTTTGAGACCATCGGGAAACGTGCCGGTACAAACGGCAATGCTAATTAAATCAGCTAAAAATGAAGAAACATAGACAATAAGTTTCTTAATATGTCTAACAGATATCTGATCGAACCCACACGAATCTTTATTCGGGAATGCCAGAACAATTTGCTCAATTTTCTCTACTATAACGAATTCATAGAAAAAAGAGTTTGGAACATGTCTGTTTGGAACTGTAGATGCTTCAGAAAGATGCCCGTTGAAATACGAGTTGAGTTTACCTGGTATTACAGATTCAAGACGCTCTCCGAATAATAAAGCCACATGATCTGGGTCAGATACAATACTGCCATCGATAGCTATAGTAATATTTTTGTCTCTACTAAACAACGAAATTTATTGATTATTGGCCACGTAGTTCTAATTTTATTTCTTGAAAGAGGGATGAGTGGATTATGATATGCAGCTTTTTCATTTTTAATTTCTTTACTGGCGTCTTTTCTACATATCACACCTTTGCTTAACGACTTCGTTATTGTAGTTATTCTTCATCCAATTCAGTATTTCGAGGTTATTTGTACCTACAAAACTTACACCGTAAATGTACGAAAACTGAATGCTTCTTTATCACCAAACAATACACGCAACCACAGAAAAACCTGACCATTTTATCACTTGTTGCTTATGGCAAGATAAATCTTTATGTATAAAATTCTTGAATTCTAATAAACATACGTAGGTGTTAACCTTTCTTTTGTCACTCAGCGTATCCTTGTCTGACTCCGTGCCAAAAGACGGTTATGCAAAGACTAGTTATACCAAGAAAAGATAAACAAGGCGAATTAACTGGAGAGAGAGAGATAAGATATGTAACCTAAAACATGACGTCAACAGTTGACCAAACACGTTAGCAGAGATAAATGCGGTGTTGCCTGACAGATAATCCTTTTCAGATGAATTCATTATCAACCAGTTGTCATGAAATAATTTTTTCTTTAAATTTGCTTCTGTTTGGAGATTTATTCATGCTTTGGATATATTTAGTCCGTTGGAAGTGTGCGAAATATATTTTTTTATTTGATAAAACTACAAATCACACTTGTTGCGAGTGCCTCTCGCGTCATGTAAACGCGCAATATAACACGATTTGGTTTAGTAATAAAAGAAGAATGTCAGCTTGAAGTTCAATTTATTTCTTTACCTCTTGCTCATATGACCGATCGTCTATGTATTTGACATGGTTGTCAGTTATCTAGACAACCTGCTCGAATAGTTAACCACCAAAAAATGTGGAAAAATCTAACGCTATAAAGCTCAGTGTAAATGTAGCATTTACTAGACATTTTATGACAGTCTAGCAACACTGCCTCAATGCATGCAGAGAAACGCGCGGATCCTTGGCAGAACGTCGAGCCATCATGGACACATTTTTTTTGCAAGCCAGGTAAATTATGATATCCTAATAACTAGTTTCCTTAAGAGACCATCTCCTTAATTCAGCAGTACGCTAGAATGACCATCCCCTTAAAGTGACCGTTTTTTATCGATCGTTTCTTCAAATAACGACTGTTTGCACATCTCTCCAACTCTTATCAATTTCTAAGATTTACAGGTGTTACTTCTAGAGCTTTCTGGAATATTTATTTGTTTGAGATTTAGTATAAAAACATCGCTGTGCCAGCATTCATGATTCCTTCATTCTCTGACCGTTCTAAATTATTATTCTGTACTACAACAATTGTACTGTGTCGACCGAAGTCTTATAATAATAAAAAAAGCTACTTTACTGGAAAGGAACTTTTATTGGTATGTTAACAACTAGTCAAATCCTACGTATTCTGATGCTAAAAACTTATCGAGTTTAGAGATGACTAGTTTTTATCATACGAGGGCTAGTATGTAATGATGTAAACAAAAGTTTGTGGTAGGAGGAAGCTTAAGGTCAATGGTGCCAGCGGATAGATTATGAAGAGAGCCCACGAAGTGTCTTTTCATAATACGACCCTTCTATGCCATATCCCCTTAGCAATCTACACTGATTGACGATGGACGATGGACTTTTATCAGGCTTCTGATTTTTCATTTTACCTCAGTTAAGCTTTGTATACATTAGAAGTGTCCCATCCAGAAAAAAATAATTTCTTCCAATTTTTTAGCAATGAGGTAATCTTACATCAAGAATACGCTCCTGTATACGTCTAGGCATCGACAAAACGAAATAATCGATGTCTGGTTGTGGCATCTCGTTTCAAGCAACTCGACTTTCGTGAATTAGCTGTGGCGGATGATTCAAGGTGGATATATAGTCTCCTCCCAATCATATCCCACACATGTTCTATGGAATTTAAATCCGGTGAACGGGGTGGCCACGGCGAACATTAATGTTTTCTTCTTGCGGAAAGTCTGCAGTACGACGAGCAACATGGGGATGTGCATGGTCTTCCTAGGTCGTCGAGAATGTTTAACTGAAAGGAAGCCCTTCTAGAGGGAAAAACTGCAGAAGCCTCGCGGTCGACGTTACCTCCAGAGACGCAATATCTTTGTTATTGAACAATTAATATTATGAACATGTTATTTTGCTAAAAGTGGAAGCATTCATACATCGGCATTAAAAGAGATGTCTGTTTTAAATATACTAAGTGACATATAAATCCGAAGTTGGTGAATGTATTTATCTTACTGTAAATAACAAGTGAAAAAATTTTCAGCCTTATCAGTTGGACATTCCGGTTTTTATACTGCTTTTTTTTAATTCACTAACGCTCTAAAAATGAATATTTCAGCCGCAGTAAAGAATCAACGTTGGCGGATTTTGGTTCTTGATATCCTTTACGATCGGTTACGATGCCTAGAGTACGGAGACCTGTACGATTTCGTCAACTTAGTGAGTTTGATAGGGGCCGTATAGTGGGAGTTCGGGAAGCTGGACTTTCTTTTCGGGCAATTGCAGTTAGAGTGCAAAGGAGTGTAGACACTGTGGTTAGGTGTTGTCAGGCATGGCTTCGAGAAGGCCGTACGCAAAGAGCAAGGGGCACTGGACGCCGCCGTAGAACAACAGACCGTGAAGATCGCCGCCTAAGATTATTGGCCTTAAGGGACCGTTTCTCCACTACCAGGTCCATGGCAAATGAATGGTTTGCAGAACACGGAAGACCTATTGGCATGCGAAGTGTTTACCGACGAATGAGAAGTTTTGGCTTGTTTTCATACCGGCCACACTGGGTCCCCCTTTAACTCGAGAACACCGACGTAATAGCCTTGAGTGGTGCAGACAACGGTCACTCTGGGATCAGA